ATTTCTTTCTGGTGGTTAGCTGCAGGAATATGCAAATCCTGAACTGAGCTTTTTGCAACTCTCCAAGACAGTTATCGTACAAATAAAAATGTTCATGGATTTTACCAAGGGACTTCCAGGTAATCACCTTACCTCTGGAAAAAAAATTAATTTAATACTTAATTTTTTTAAAGTTCCTTGTTTTAAAGGAAGGAGATGTTTTAAGGAAACAAAACCTATTTTTCAACCAAAACTGCTTCTAAATTCAAAATCATGTTTTACTTTATTTGCTTTAATCAATCAGGTAGGTGAAAATAGAAATATTTAAAAATATTATACAGGTGACTTCGAAGACTTAGAGTTAAGACAAACTATGATTGGTTGTATGTTTTATCTTATTTTTATTTTTGGAAATACATTATTTTTGGTTTTTAGATAAAACACGAAACAGATAAAATTCCCTGTACAATACAAAAAAAAAATCAACCCACTGTTGGCCAAAACTTAGCTATCTATTTACATGTACAGATAACGCTCTGTAAAAATAGATTCTTCAAGGTTAAACCAACTATGTTTAATTTGTTCTTACCACAGGAAAGTATTAATATCCAGTTCTGATGAAAGTACCCCAAAATACTACCGTGTAGAATCAAGAATTTTATTCAGATTTGAAGTTACATATCATGATTATTCTAAGGGAACAGTTAGGATTCATATCATAATTAAATAAATAATATAAAAATGTTAAATCCTATACCTGAAAATTATCTTTTCATTATCTATTTCAAACAATTATGTGATCTTTTCTTAAAGGATTTGAAAATTTGACCAGTGAGGATCAGACTGCATTACAGAAGGGATCAAAAACTGAAGTGATGTTCCTTCATGCGGCCCAAATTTACAGTCAGAAAGAATGTCTTTCACCAGCTTCTGAAAGTAAAAAAGGCCAATTAATTGAATTTTAATGTTAATAGTCACTATCAAATTTAGAAACAAATTATGTAACTGAGATATTTTTTCTTATTATGTTTTTATTTTACTACTCAGTATAGGAATAAGTACTTCATAATAGCTGTTTATTATGGTCTAGCTTTTGATTTTCTTTTAAAGAAAGCCATTCTTTTTATATAGCATTGTGGAAGGCACATTTTTGGAGAGTCTTCTATATAATTTTTATATAAAATAAGAACTATTAATCTAGATCCACGCTTCAGTAATAAAAATTATAAAGCTACCATTTGTTGGGAACTTCTCCTGTCTAACAGAGATTAGAGAGATTGAATTTACTATCTGTATTTAAAAAATCAGACTTTATATTTTTCCCTTAACTAGGTACTATGAAACTATCAAATCACTCAGCTCATTCACTGAATTGTCACAAACAGAGTGGTGATAGAAGTGTTATTTATTCTATGGAAACATTTTGCAATGAAGACTGTCCTTCTACTATGCTGACTGGTAATATTACATATAATACAAAATATTTTATTGGATGGAAAAAAATTGGTCAAATATGTTTCATTTTCTTTTACTGCTTTGAGAAAATAGGATAATGGTACTATGTTTGATTTTGCACTATGTTCTGATGAAAATACATTTCGTATTTCTTTTTAGGGATTGTTGAAGAATTTATTACCACACTGTTTTACTTCTACAGAAGAATGAGTGAGCTTAATATTACTAATACTGAATATGCTCTGCTTGCAGCAACAATTGTGTTTTTTTCAGGTAAAAAAACATTTAGCAGTAAAAATTTGGATTAAGTTTGGCAATGAAAGCATGAAATTTATAGTTATTATATTATTCATTGATTCCAAATGTGTGAATTTTCTTAAAAATTGCCTTCAGCTTACAAACATTCTGTAATTCGTTGCATCTTAAAAGAAAAAGCCTATTGACCTCAGATCCCCTTTCAGCTGTTCTCCCATTTCTCTGTTGTATATTACAGGAAAAAAAAAAGTTTTTTTAGAGTTGTCTATATTTCTGCCTCCATTTCTTTCCTCTCATTTATTCCTGAACCCAATACAGTAAGATTTTGTCCCCTCCCTTCCCCCTCCACCATAACTTGCCAAGAGCTTCAGTAATTTGAAATTGCTGATTCCAGTAGTCAGTTCTTAGTCTTCATCTCACTTGACCCATCAGCTACATTTGACAGAGCAGATCACACCCTCTTTCTTAGAACACTTACCACTAGGCTTCAGTTGATCACTCCCTCCTTTTTGACTTGATTTTTTTTTCCCACTTGATTTCCAGGACATTACACTATCTTGGTTTCTCTCCTTAGTAGCTGCTCTTTCTGTCTCCTTTGTTAATTCCTCATCTTCCACACTGATAAATATTAGAGTGTCCCAGGGCTCAGTTATCTTTTCTTCTATACTCATTTCCTTTGAAATTTCATCCTATCTCATGGCTTTAAATGCCATCTATAGGCCGACAACTCCCAAATTATATACCAACCTGGACTGCTCCCCTAAACTCCATTAAATGGCCTACTCAAGATTTCAGCTTGGATGTTTAGCAGGCATAAAGAATTTAACATATCTGAATGTGAACTCCTGATCTCTTCCCCCCTCAATTCTCCCATATTCTTCTTACATCTCTACTAAATTGTACCCCATCCCCTAAGTTGCATAAGCCAAAATTCTTGAAGTCATCCTTCACTTCTTTCTTTCTTTTACCCATATCAAATATGCAACAACTTTTGTTGGCTCCAGCCTCAAAATATATCCAGAATTCAACCACTTCTTACTGTCTCTGTCCCTGCCACCCTAATAATACTGCTATCCTAACTCACTTTCCTGTTTTTGCCCTTGCCTTCCTAGGATCTATTCTCAATACAGTAGACAGAGTGACTCTTTGACAAGATGAGCCAGATCATGTCATTCCTCTGCTCAGAACCTTTTAATGGCTTCCTGATTTACACAGTTTAAAGCCAAAGTTCTTTCCATCATTGCCCACTACTATTTCTTTTGCTTCAACTCCACAGTCACATTGTTTTTGACGCATATGTTCCCTTAAAATTTCAAGCAGCCTCCTGCCATAGGTTCTACTGTACATGACAAATCTTCTGCTTGGAAAACTCTTTCCTAGGTAGCTTTATGGCTCCGTCCTTCACCATCTTGGATCTCTGCTAAATGTCATCTTAACTCTGATTACTTTTATATAAACAGCTATCGCCCCTCTACCCTAATTCTCATCCTCTCCTCTGTTTATTTTTCTCTATAAAATTTATTGTTGTCATATATTTTTACTTTAAAAAATGTATATATGTCTTTTTCCTCCCTTATTTCTCCCAGACCCAAAATATGAGCTCAATGAGGGCAGAAAATTTAGTCTGTTATGTTCATTGTGTATCTCCAGCTCAATGACTGGATGAGTGGGTGCTGTCTAATCATTAAGAAATTCTCTTTCATAGAGTATTATAAGGATTAAATAAGATTTTGCATAGAAGCAAGTTATCTAACATAAAATCTGGCATATATTAAGGGTTCAGTAAATATTTGCTATTTTTATTATTTAAAATCTGTATTGTTTTAATTTATCTTCTACCATTTTCCAGTATTCATTAAGATATATATATAATGATGTTTTTCAGATCGTCCATGCCTTAAAAATAAGCAACATGTGGAAAATTTACAAGAACCAGTTTTACAAATCTTGTACAAATATTCAAAAATTTATCATCCAGAAGACCTACAGCATTTTGCTCGTCTCATAGGGAGGCTCACTGAACTGAGAACACTGAATCACAACCACTCAGAAATACTTAGCATTTGGAAAACAAAGGACCCCAGATTGGCTAGTTTACTTTCTGAGAAATGGAATTTGTATTCACATTGCTGAACTTTTAGAATGTTTAGTTTGTCTTAAACTTCCTAAATCTAGATCATTTATTCTATCATCATAGGAGGACTGATTTGAAAAACAGAAACAGAACTGCTGTATTACCCATATATTGCCATAAAGTGGACATCATCAAGGGCTCAATTAAATTTTATGGAATATAGGACCACCACTAGATGGATATCTAGGATTCTTTTCAAGATTTGTCCCAAAGAAGCAATTGTTATTGTTAGTGCATGGTTCCTTCAGAAGGGAGTAATACTAAATGGAGTTCTTACCTGAAGAAACTTTTTTTTTTTATTTAGTAGAAGATTGTGTGAAAATATATAGATTATGTGTAGACATGAAAAAGGCTATTTAGTGGTAACAGTTATAATCAGAATAAAGGCAGCTTGTGAAACCCATTAATTAAGGACAGGTCATTGGATAAGCACTAACATTTAAAACCTATTCCTATTATAGCATTTTATGAATTATTGAAGAGGAACAAATCTTTGTTCAACCCTCAACTTATAAAAAATCTTAATTAAACTTATCAATTACTATCCCCAGGGGTTATCTTGTGCATTTATTCTTGGTATCATCTCTTGAAGGGAGTATTTTATCTTTTTTAGAGTATCTAGACTCAGTTTCCGTAAAATGTAAAATGAAAGAGTTAACCATGGATCATCCTTTCCAGCTCAAAAATTTTGTAATTTTGGCAGAAACTATTATGTCTGATAGGTTAAACTGATACAAAACAAAATGAGTTATTTAAAAATATTACCAAAGTCCTTTGGAAAAGCATCAGCTAAAATACATGAAGAAAGTTAGAAAATAAAATCAATATATCAAGAACAGAACTCATTATCTTATTGCTCAAACCTAAGTATTTATTCTATTCTAGTAATGCAAGTTTGAAACCCAGTAATCTTAGATTTCTCTCTTTCGCTGCTCACTTTAAAAAGCCATCTAATCCTATTAATTTTATTTTCTGAATAGCTTTTATATTTGACACCCTTGCTTCATCTTCACGGCTGCTGTCTAGCTCAGGTTCTCATGCCTTATTCAGGCTATTTAAACTGTCTCCCTAACTCCAGTCTCCTAAACCTAAACTGTTTTTCATTCTACAAATTTTCTTCTGAACTTGATCATGCCTCCCTTTCAACTCAAAATTCGTCAAGATCCCCATCCATAAAGACTAAAATCCAAAAGCTTTTGCAAGGCTTCATATCTGTGCTGTCTCCAGCCTCATCTCTTGCCATTTTCCCACTGTGTCCTCACACGCATACACCACGCTTCTTGGACTCACTCACTTTTTAAGACATTAAATTAAAAAATTTAAAATTGAAGTATAGTTGATCGATAATCTTGTGTTAGTTCTGGACTCACACACTCTAGTACTTCTCTCTTTCACAAATCTAGTGCCTTTGCCTACCGTCCCTCAGCCAGGAATATCCCTTCCTCTATTCACTATCCAGTCAGCGCTCTGTTGACCCTTCTGTTCTTTGCGGAAGCAGTAACAGATGGGCACCACATCCGTGCAGCCCTCTCCTGACTCCCAAGTCACTGTAAATGCCGCTTTCCCTGCGTCCCAACGAGTCTTAAAAATTACGATCGTTAAATTATTACAGGTGTCTATAATAGTTCGCTCTTCTGTTTTCTTCCTAAGACTGTGAGCTCTTGGAGGACAGAAATAGATTTTTCACTCTCAACTCCAATCTATCACAGCACCTGATAGTTCTCCTTGCATCCTCTAACAATAGCAGAAGTTTAAAGAATGTGAACTCTAAGTAGAAACAGAATGCGGACAAGAATTGTTACGAACGTAAAGGCAAATCTCGCGAGATGTAGGGCTTGGGCGCCCAGCCAACCAAGGCGGATGACCGTTATTTAGCCGTTAAACCGCCACCGGCGCCGCCCCTCCCTCTTGGCCGCAGAGGTGGTGCGATTTCCCGCCTTTTCTGAGGTTCGGAGGCAGAAGCCCGCGGTTCTTTCCGCTGTCCTAAGAGACGGCAGGTGGCAATTCGCGTGGGCACCGAGTCTGCGGTTTCCCGCTAGGTTTTTAAAGGTAAGGGGAGGTGTGTCGAGTTCCTTCCCTGAGGACGGAACCCGAGCGGGGCGAGGTTTTGATACCGCCGCTCCCTCACAACGGCAGCCCGGCGTCTTCTCGGTAGTCCTGTGAGAACCTAAGATAGTTCTTCCCGGCGAGGAGGTGCAGTTTGACGGGGCTGGAGGAGGTAGAAGGCTTTCTTTTCAGGCTGTTGCAGTGGATATGCCTAGTTCGAGTTTCTCGATTATATCCGTCGCCAGCGTGGCCTTTGGGGGTGGGGGTGGGGGATGGTGGGACAAATTGGGGATGTCTTTACTTTGATCACCTCGGCAGTAAGCGACGCTGTAGGCTAACGTGGTGGCGAAGGTTTCGTCCATTTCTTTATATCCCCATTTATTATACAAACGTCACCCTTAAGATAAAGAATCAGTAGGATTAACGAAACAACGTAAAACGCTTTCTCCTCCCTCTGGAGCAATAGATAATTACGACTGGAAGAGAGAAAATGGAAAAGCAAAAGCCCTTTACATTGTTTGTGCCACCAAGATTAAGTAGCAGTCAAGTATCTGCAGTGAAACCTCAGACCTTGGGAGGAGATTCTAATTTCTTCAAGGTAAATTTGCATATGAGTCTTGATTTGCCTATTCTTAACTTTAGGTAAATGAGGCAAAGTAAACTTTCTTCCTGGTTATATTATATATATATATATTTTTTTCATTAAATACAGTCTGATTTCTCAAGAATTTTGTATAGCGTTGCTGTGAATGAACAATGAGCGTACGTAGTGTGTTTAAGCATCATTCGTTTAAAGATATAATCACTGCTGTTTTAGAACTCTGCATACATACTGGGACCTGATTATTTTAATCCTCCCTCTTTCTTTAAATGATTTGAAGCAACTTATAAGCATATAAAATGAAAAAGTAAAATACAAATTAGAAGAATATTAGGATCAAGGAAAATTAAGAACATTTGGACAAATATGTTGACATACTGGTAAGAATTAGTGTGACTGAGCTTAAAATTTGACTGAGCTTCCTGGATAAAAAGAGAAATTCATTTAAATAGTAGATTTTTATTGGAAGGGAGGAATTATACCAAGTTTCTCAGGTGAAATAGGCCCTTTTCTAGTAATTTATTTAAATTTCTCATTTGAAACTTTATGTTGGAGATGGGATGAAGCAATGAATATTTTAATTTTATATGCTGTAAAAAAATTCTTATGTCTCTGTAGCAAAGAGTATAACATTAAAATGCTATTCAGTGAAGATAATCCTCAGTTCTAGCAAAGGAACGATCACAATGAAATTGAAGAAAACTAAAATTCTATGCTACTGATTAAAATTACTAATATTATTCCTGAGTATATACAAGGCATGTATCATGTAATTTTTATTTAGTTTTATCTTACAAGTGAAAATTAGAAATTTTTGCTTTATTTACATAACAAAAGCATTTGATATTTTTAACACAATATATGCATTAAAGGATTTATAATTATAGTCACTTCTTTAAGCAGATGTATATTATAAATGTAATTACATATTACACTGGTAGTTATTAGAGTGGTATGGGATAGTATGCTTAAGAACTTCTTTGTGTTTCTAGGGTTTCAACAAATGTGTTGAAGATGATTTTGGTTTTCCATTTGCAATGACTAATCTCTCCAAAACTGGAGAAAACATTGATTCAGGTAGGAGACTAGAAAAGCTTGTATCACCATACATAGAAGCATTTTTAAAATATACATTGCTAGATATTGAAAATATAACAGGTGCTATATTGATAGCCTTAACATTAAAGCAAGATATAATACTTAATATGAAAAATAAGATGTTGGCAAATTTAATACCAGTTGTCTTTTATCTTGCAGATCCTGCTTTACAAAAAGTTAACTTTTTGCCCATGCTTGAACAGGTCAGTTAAGTATAGTG